TAATTTTCTTAATTAGGAATGAAGATATAATTTTGAATCTTTGGTACTAGCTCTGTGCCCTAAGGTGTCAAACATGACCCACAACAATCCTGAGAGAACCAGATGAAAATATAGTTCCTGTTTGATTTTAATGTGTATATATATTAGTTAAAAAAAAGAAAGAAAAAAAGAAATACATAAGTGTGTGTGGCTTTCTAAGTTGGGATACAGCCTGCAGGGATCCTTATGTATGGTTTAATGGTCCCTATTTGTATTTGAGTTTGACATCTATGCCATAAAGCAAATTACTCCGCCTTTCTGAGTTTCTTTTTCCTCGTCTGTAAAATGTGGGAATTAGGGAGAGATTATTTCGTGAGGAAGGGATGGTCTCTGAGGGCCTTTGTAGCTCTAAATCTACACAGGACATTTTTTTTTAAAGAAAAGAGGCTGTTAGGAGAGCTTAACCTGAGTTCCCTCAACTTACTTAAAATATTTTTATGATTATATTTCAGCATAGTTTCCTTTTTAATTTTATGTATTTATGTCATGAATTTAAAAACATTATTTTGTTAAGGAGTTTATAGACTAAAAAGACTGAGAGGGGTCCATGGCACACACAAAAAAGGCTAAGAACCCTGGCCTAACATCTACCTGGTATGGGATAGAGATTACCTTTGTTTTTGAATAGGTCAGGCACTGCCTGGTTGAATTGAATTGTCCTTGTGTCCCTCCTTCTCTGGGATCCCCTTTGCTTAGTAGAATTACCTTTTCCTATGGAAGGGATGAATGATACTCATTGTCTGTCTGGTCTCTTTTTAAAAAGCAGCCAATGGGAAGAGAACATGCCCAAATAGATATTTTTATAGGATTGTCAATAGAGGAAATATATGTGGAGAACTTCAGGGTAGCCTCTGTGTTGTGAATGTTCAGCCTGCCTTAAAAAAAAGAAAAAAAGCCTGAGAAGATGAGTCTCCTGGCTTTTAGTGTTTCCAGAGTTGTGAACTCTGCTCATTGGTGGCACTAGATGTCCACTCAAAGTCAGGACAGAATGTGAGGAGAGACCCCACCAGTACAGGGCTACCCAGCTTTGGCGAACAGGTGCTGATTTTCTCACAGAGTCTCTAAGGGAGATCAAGATCAAATGTTCCACCGGATTGTTGAAGCTATGTTTCCAAAGAACACCTGGGGATCAGATGGATGCAGATGCTGAGTGCTCAGGGCATTCTCATGCCTGGAAAATATGTAGGTTGGAGAGTTGTGTGTTTGTTGTGTATCCATGGTGAACTAAGTGGAGAACAGAACAAACTTCTGACCCGGTCCCTGGACTTTAGGAGGTCATGTACTAAGGCTACATGGAACACACACACGATGTGCTATCCAGGAATACAAATCCTCTGGACATAACTAATTTGGGGCTTTGTTTAGCTTTGATGTTTTTGTTTTTGTTTTTATTTTTATTTTCTAAATGTGACTGTCATTTCAAAGGTTCTGGAGACTTAATGAGATTTTCAGAGGAAAGGCTATTGTTTTATGGAGGTCTGGGTGGGGGTCTTGTCCAAATGATTTAGCATGAAGAAGTTATTTTGATACCATGCAGTTTGGGGAGTCTTTAGGAGATCAAAGAAGAGAGAGCATTGAGTGCTTCAGGTAGAAGGTCATCTGGGTATGCGGAAAAATGAAATTAAGTTTGGCTTAAGAGACTGAAACAAAGGGGACTAAGTAATTCATACAGAATTTTTCTCTGAAGAGTTGATGGGGGTCTCTTCAAGGAATATGTCTTCCTAATGATATTATACTTGACACTTCATTAATGCCTTTTGTTGAATCTGTGATTTTAGTGGTATAGAGAACTTTAGGTGTGGCAATTCTCTCCTCCAGTAAAGATGGATGAAAAAACAAAACAAAATGTTTATTTAGCACTGAACTACATATACCGTCCTAAGCATTGAGGGTACAAATAGAAAAGTAACAGTCCTTCCTCTCAAGGAGCTCACATTCCAAGAATGGAAGACAATACAGGAGGATAGAGGCAGGGTAGATGGCAAGATGCAGGGGCCCGGAGGATACAGTGGCAGTATGGATAGCAAGGCAGTAGGGCCCAGGGAATGCATCAACAGGGCTCATGGAGGGCACAAGGGTTTAGAAGTCAGCAAATAGTCTGTAATTTAGTCTTAGTGAATTGGCTGTGGGCACCAAGAGTCTAAGAAACTTGCTGATAGTCACAGAGGTAGTATGTGTCAGAGGCAAAGCTTTAACCTAGGTCTTCTTGACCCTAAATCAGGGCTTCTGTCTACTCTACTTCATTGCCTTAAATACAGATAGATGGTGTTCTTGCCAAAGGGCAAGATGCCTGGAGGGCAAAGATCTTTTTTAAGCAGCAGCAAGATATTAAAATGAATATGTGGGTAGCTCTGGTGTGGCCAACAGCCTCTGATAAACTAAACTTCAGAAAGCTTTGGACATTAAGTAAAGAGGTTGTGGGTGGCAAGCATATGCTATTATTTCATGGTGTCAAAGAGCAGAGCAATTTCAGGAAGAGGCTATTTGAACAGAAACTTTTCTGGGTTGATTAGAATTCAGAAAGTCTGCTTTTATGACCATGAAGGTGAATTTGAATTTTGCTGTTTTTATAATTTATGGCTTTTTCTCTTGCAGAAGATCCTTGGAAGTTACTTTTGGGATATATGGCTCCAGGAAAGATCACCCAGGGCAATTCATCAAGCTTGAGTCCAGTCTGGGGGTGGGGGGAGTAAGAGGCATTTATGAGTCACATTTTCTTGATTAGATATTTTTATGAATTTAGAACTTTTTGAAATTTGGCCTCAGAAGGCAAAAGGATCTGTAATAAGAGTTAAGCTCAATTATCAGAACCTTCAATTAGGAAACTGAGCTCATCATCAGTAATAATTATAACAATCAGATTGGGAAGGAGGCTGCCTGAATCACAGCTTCTATAATGTTTCACTTAGGTGTTCCTTCATATTTGTACTTCAATGGATTCATGGAAATTCACATAATAACAGATTCTTAGAGTTGGCAATCCCTAACTGAAGAATAAATCTTTGGGAAAACTTTTTTGACAAGTGGCTGGTCTGTCTTAATTCATTGGCTAAGCTCTGGCTTTGGCAACAGAGGAGATGAGTTCAAATCATGGATTTTTCACTTCCTGTGTTACCTTAGGCAAGTAGCTTGACATTTCTGGCCTCATTTTTCTCATCCATAAAATGAGGGAGCTGGACTAGATGGTCTCTGAGATCTTATCTAGCTCTAAATCTGTGATGCTATGATGAGATCCCGCAATCACTACCTCAGAGAATTGTGGTATGAACTCTCTGGTGATATGTGTCAAGGGCAGGATTGGAATGTAAGCCTCCTGTCTCCAAGTACAGAAGTCTATACACTATGAAGGATTCCTAATGTTTATCCAGATGATAATACTGTTATAATCAGTGGTATGCTGGTAAATATTTAACACCTGGCTTTGGGGGAAGAGAAGAATGTATGCACAACACACTTTTAAGTTTAATCTGCATTATTTATGTTTTTCCCATCACTTTCTTAAGTCTAAACAATGAAGCAAACAATAAATCAAGCCCTGATTTGTAGCCTTTGCTGATATCCAAGGTATAAATGCTTACACTGAAAATTTAACAATCAGCTCTCAAGGGGCTGTTGGAGCTGGCTTCAGCACACCTGGATTATAATGCTAGTCTTATAATTATAGCACAACAATTTTTCATTAAAAGTTTGCGCTGTGTGAAAGAAAATAATGGACCTTGTGCTGATAAAGCAGATGAAAAGAATGAAATCATCATTACTTTGAAATGGCATCATAATATCCCTGCAGGTCACTAATGATCATTGTCATCAAATTATAGAACTTGGGAGTTGGAAGGGACATTAGAATTCACCTGTCTAGCCCAGGGGTGGAAACCTGCGGCCTTGAGGCCACATGTGGCCCTCTAGGTCCTCAAGTGCGGCCATTTGACTGAATCTAAACTTCACAGAACAAATCTCCTTAATAAAAGGATTTGTTCTATAAAACTTGGAATCAGTCAAAAGGCTGCACCTGAGGACCTAGAAGGCCACATGTTCCCCACCCCGGTCTAGCCTAACCCCTTACTTTTCAAAGGAGAAATCTGAGACCCAGAGGAGTGGGGTGACTTGCTCTAAGGACACATATCTAGTTAGTGTGAAGCCTAGGACTAGAATCTAAGTCACTATATCATGTTGCCTTTCATCAAAAATTTATTCATTGCTTACTGTGACAGACTTATATGTTAACTGAGGATATGTGGAAGTTTAAGACATAGAGCCTACTCTCAAGGGGCTTACAATCTAGATAAGGAAGCAGAACATAAGTGAAAAAATAGCAATAAAAAGTATTACGTGATTGACTGAGAGGCAGCATGGCATAGTGGATAGAGAACTGGTCTCAGAGTCAAGAAAACCTGGGTTCATGTCCCATGTCTGACCCATAGAGGGTGTGACCTTGGATAAGTTACTTAATCTCTAGTGATGAAGGTAGACCTCTAGAGTAGACCATCAAACTTAAACCAAATTAAATTGTAATTGGGAAATGTTTAACAAAATAAATGAAAATACAATAAAACATAGATAATGTTAATTGGTGGTTTTCTAAGCTGGTATACCTCTAATCTGTTTATATCTGAGTTTGAGACCACTGCTCTAGGGAAGTCTCTAGAACTGTAACTTGCAGAGAAGGCGTTAACCTACGCTGGTGGAGGGAATGCCTGTACCTGGGAGTTCCCTATACCAATGAAGTCACGGTTCTAGTCCCTCTCCTTCTATGATTGAATGTAAGGTCAGAAGTCATTTCCTGAAAGAGCGAATTCACCTATCAGAGCCAGCAATTTATTGTCTTCTTGCCTGATGAACTCTAGCATCAGTTTATCAAATCAGTAGAAAACAATTTCACTCAACGATGAACCTATGAATTGTTATTTGGTACTGATATCTTGGAGTATCCAGGCCACCAAGAAAGGGTTTTCTTTTCCCAGGGAAGCGAATCTACATTTCAGACTGCCATTCCTTGAATGACACCTGGCTGGTCACCTTGGGGCGCCATCATCCCCAGTCCCTCACTTTGCATCGCTGCCATGATGACATCCATGCCATCACTGATCAAGGATTGAAGCAGTTTTTTCACCACTGTAGTGAATCTCTCAAGGTATGATCCTTATGTACTGTCTTCATATCAGAGTTGGGACTTTCAGAAGGGGATTCTATGTGCTTTAAAGGAGGGACTGTAGTGATTATCTCACCCAACCCCCTGCATTTTACAGATGAAGAAATGAAGGCCCAGAGAAATTTAATAACCTATTCAAGATCGCTTGGCTAGGAAGTGGTCAAGGAAGTATATGAACACAGGTCTTAAGTCCAAGTCCGTAATTCTAGCAACCATACCTCCCTCTTAAGCAATATTTATTCACCCTTTTAAGTCTATGTAATTACAAAACTGGTAAAATCACTTTCCTATGTCTTAGTACTGACATATTAAGTGGAAAAAAATGATATATTCTCAGAGAAGCAGGTATGAGCCATTTAAAAGAATGGCCAGAGTAGATGGATGCCTTTAAATGGAGTTATGAAATCCTAGAATCTTAGCATCAAAATGAACTTCAAAGATGACCTATGAACTCCAACTCTTACCTGATAAGATCATAGGTTTAGGGCAAGAAGGGCCCTTGAAGGCCTTTTTGTCCATCCCTGTCATTTGGCAGATGAGGAAACTAAGTCTAAGAAACTGGAAAATGCTTGCCCATAGGGAGTAAGTGTCAGGGCTGAAATCTGAATCCAATGTCTCTGACTCCTAATCCACTTGCCTTTCCCCTCAGTCACACTGATTTCCACGTAGTCCTCTTCTTTTTGGTTTAGACTGGTTTAGTGCTAATAGTAAGCACTTAAAAATGCTTTTTGGTTGACTGGATCTGTGCTTTCATTGGCGAGAGAAACTTCTTTGTTGAGGGAACTCCCTCCACCTTCATGCCCTTTAGCCGCTTATCTATAACTTGGTTTTAGAGAGTTACCTGAGGACTGAGAGGGCAAGGGATGTGCTCATGGTCACCCAGCTAGTATGTGTCAGAAGCTCTCTCTAAGGCTGACTCTCTCTTTGCTATACTATTCTGTCTCCAGCTAGTCTCTACCTTCCCGTGACATAGTGGAATACCTTATGCCTTTGTTATTAGGAACTGGTGTGGTTCTGGACTCATTGGCATCAACCTCTGATTTCTGATATAACCACACAATGGGGTAAGAACCAAAAAGGAAAGAAAAAAAGAACCACAAGGGGAAAAAAAATTAACCTTGCTCCAGGATTGGCTGGTGTGTCAGTGAATCATTATGTCAACTTTGGGAAGTTAGTCAACTTTTTTTTTTTTGCCATCAATTCTTCATTGAGACACTATTGTCACTTAGAGTTCTAGGCTGGCCATTTTTAAAGTCTGATCAATTTCTAGAAAGTATTGGAGGAAATTCAATCAAATCTGCAAATATGGATAGCAAGCATCTACTGGGGATGAGGCACTGTGTTAGGTGCTAAACCTTTGACTTACTTTTTCCAACCTTTTTTTATGAAATGAAAAGACATTTTGCCTTAAAAACATCCCTTTTCAAAGGTTTACATTTAATAACTGATATTTATGTAAGTTTTCAAAGTGTTTTATGTGAATTATCTCATTTGACCCTGATAACAACCCTGTGAGATAGCTGCTACTACTATTCCCATTTTGCAGATAAAAAACTGAGGCTTAGAGAGGTTAGGTGACCTGTCCAGGGTTGCATAGGTAGTGTCAAGTAGGGTTTAAACTCAGATCTTTCTGACTTCAAACTTGATGTATCAGACATATTTCATCATTATCCATAGGATATCAGAACATAGTTTATCCATTCCTAGACTTAGAGCAGGAAGAGATCCTTGAGGTCATCTACTTCAGTCCCCTCTTTAGACAGAAGAGGAAACTGAAGCCAAGAAAGCTGAAGTGTTTTGCCTAAGGTTGTTATGCTTCATATAATTGCAAACCCCTTTTATTTTTCTTTTTAAATCTTGCAGAAAGATGTCATGATTTTGCAAATATTAAAAAAAATATAATTTGGAGACAGATACCAAGAGCTTTTCAGCGACTGCTGTTGCTATGTATGGACATATACGGATGCATTATGCACATGTTTATAGTTATGCACACATGCCTGAATGTTTACAAGTGTACACATGATCTATGTTTACTGCCATGAATATCTATATGTGTGTTTACATGTATGTATACATATATGTCAGTATGTTGTATACAAATAAGCATGAGAGGCTTGGGACAGTGGATAGAGGCTTGCACATAAAGTTAGGAAGTCTGAAATTCAAATCCTGCCTTGACACATACTACCTGTGTGGTCACGGACAAGTCACTTACCTTTGAGAGTCTCAGAAAACTCTCAAGATCATGGGAATTCAGGGTTGAAAGAGATCATGGAGGCCATTTAGTCCAACCTAAGCTTTATACGTGACAAGTGGTCATAAAGCCTTTGCTTGAAGATTCCCAGTGAGGGGCAACCTTCTACTTCCTCTTTTAGAAAGTTTTTCCTTATGCCAGGAAGGCAGCATGATTACATAGGGAGAACTTTGGGTCTGGAATCAGAGGATCTTGGTTTAAATCTAGGCTCCTGCAACCCACTAGCTGTGTGAGCTTAGGTAAGTTATTTGGGCCATCTCTTCGGGCCTCAGGGCTACTCACTGCAGCCAGCAGAAGGAGGGTTCCCTGAGTTCAAGAAGATTAAAAAAAAGGGTAGAAGTGTTCAGTTTTCCTTCCCTGTTTCCATTTCTTCATTTGATGACAAATGTCTCTCCAGTTGGGTGACCATGTGGTAACCTTGAACTCACACTCTGGAGAGGGAAGAGGAAACCTATGCATAAGATTTATATGTCAAAAAGAGATTTATTGACAGACATTTTTTACAGCTGGCTGGAGATTGGAGAGGAATGCTGCAGGCTTCCAAATTGGCATCCGGAATTGGGGATGATCCGGCAGTTCCCTAAACGGGGTCGTATGGTTAGTCCAAAGATGGTTTCTCAGCTTTCTCTTTCTGTATAGGAAAAGTGCCTTCCTTGACATATGTCAGAGAGGTCTCCTTTTGTTTTTGCTTCCAGTACAGTGGTTGGTGAGGAGCAAAGTGTTGTCTGCTATTGCTGCCTTCAGATCTGTGCTTCAGAATCTTTGCTTGCAGTAATTGGTTGAGGTGGATGAGAGTATGAAATTAGAATATTCCCCGTTTTATTCAAGGTTAGCTAAAAGGGGAGGAGTGTGAAGGGCCTGGTCTATGACGACAGGTAACATCCGGGCCCAAATGGACACTTTATCCATGAGGTTATTATTCGGAAAAGTGGGGAGAACTTCTTGGCTGGTTTTAGGGGTGAAAGCAAAAAGCAAGAGAGTGTTCATACCAATCATGTGGCAAGTTCCAGGAGAATGGCCTTGGGTTATTCTGTCAAGTGAGAAATCACTTAGAGAGGTGCTTATGGGCTTTTCCCTTAGGATTCTAAATATGAATGCTGGAGCATAAACTAAGACAAAAAGAGCCTAACAAGGTCCTACTCATTAGTATTTATATGCTTGTGAATATTCTATGGATGCAATTAATTTGCATTTCTCAGAGTGAGGAAGGATAGCACTTTTAGTTATAAAATTGTTCAAAAGTGAAACCATATTCTTATACTCATAATATAAAAAAAGATGTAACTACAGAGATCAGGCATTATGGTAAACATCATAACAGTTAAAGTTTTGTTGGCCCTATTATATAATCTTAGCTGTTAAATTACAGATGAGTTGCTAATCTCATCACTGAAGAGAATGACTGGTTCAGACCAATATAAAGTGTGTGTGTGTGTGTGTGTGTGTGTGTGTATGTGTGTATGTATTTGTGTGTATAGATGTCTATCTAGGCCTAGACAGTCTCACAGGACTTGGCATCATAGATCTGGAGTTGGCAAACTATGGACCATAGGCTAAATCTGTTCTACCATATGTTTTTGTATGGGCCTGCAAGCTAAGAATGAAACTATTATTTTTTATGTGGGCCATATAAAAACAGTCAGTGGGCTGGATTTTTGGCCCATGGCCAAGGAGTTTGTCAACCTGTATTAGATAGTGAGACTCTGCTCAACTCCCTTGTTAGTTTACCTTGTGTTTTCTCCCCTCTGCCCTATATGTGTGTATGTATATGCATATTGTGTGTACAAATCTATCTGCATGTAGATACATATGTGGATATTTATATGCACAAAAATTTACCATGACAAGATAACCCAACAATTTTCCTGATGTATTCGTTCTTTTAATTAAGAGGCCTTAAAGTACAGAAATTACTGTAGTCATGATGAAATAAAAGACACATTGAGGTTGTGTTTGGTGGATTGCTGTTCACCAGCCATTGCAATATTTAACTTTCTGTTTGCCTGACTTCTTTTAAGTCCCGATGAATTTCTTCATGTCAGATAAGCATTTGGTATTCCAGCAGCCTGAAACAACAATTTCAGTTATACTGCTGCATACCCTTACAGATATGACTTTTAATAGCAGTAAATCCATAGAGATATTTAACAGTTAATTGGAAAAGTGGTATAGACTGCCTCCCTCCCCCATAGTTAAGTCTTCCATCATTAGGTTTAACACATTGTTTTGAATATTTGTATCTATATCTATCTATATGCATACATACATACATATTACAAATATGCCTCTGAAAAGCACAGTTTGAGAGGCAATCCAAGGTAGGGTTTTTTGAGTAGTTGATGAGGCTTAATATTAGTTGGAGTTCCTAGATTAAGATCTGAGGAGTACAGAGGGGGTATTTGCTTCTTGTTGACATTCATGGATCAATTATTGTGTAAATACTGGATTCTTTTCTTTACAATAGCAAAGATACACTCTAGAACTATGTAAGCATGACATGCATTGAAGGGTCCTTTTCAGCTTGCATCAACATCAAGTTGTCTTTAGAAATACCTTATCATGCACTCTAGTCTTTTAAGAAGCTTAGAGTGATAGAAATGTTTTCAGATGGAATAAAACTCAGAGATTTTCTAGTTCTACCCTGTCATTTTAGGGAGAAGAATCTGAGTCTCAAAGAGGTGAATGAAGTCATTTGCCCAAGTTCACATAGTTACTTAATGGGAGA